AGGGCATCAGGGAAAGGGACCTCACAGGAGGGGGCATCGAGGGAAAGGACCTCAGAAAGGGGCATCGAGGGAAAGGGACCTCACACGAAGGGGCATCGAGGGAAAGGGACCTCACAGGAAGGAGCATCGAGGGAAAGGGACCTCACACGAAGGGGCATCAAGGGAAAGGGACCTCACAGGAGGGGGCATCGAGGAAAGGGACCACAGGAAGGGGATCGAGGGAAAGGACCCTCACACGAAGGGGCATCGAGGAAAGGGACTCACAGGAAGGAGCATCGAGGGAAAGGGACCTCACACGAAGGGGCATCGAGGGAAAGGGACCTCACAGGAAGGGGCATCGAGGGAAAGGGACCTCACACGAAGGGGCATCGAGGGAAAGGGACCTCACAGGAAGGGGCATCGAGGGAAAGGACCTCACACGAAAGGGGCATCAAGGGAAAGGGACCTCACAGAAGGGGCATCGGGGAAGGGACCTCACACGAAGGGGCATCGAGGGAAAGGGACCTCACAGGAAGGAGCATCGAGGGAAAGGGACCTCACAGGAAGGGGCATCAAGGGAAAAGCTTTTGTTCGTCTTCCCATCGTCACCGAGCGGCTGTTGCTAAGATAGGAAGATCTATTATTGGAAGGATCGTGGGAGGATGGATCACTATCCGAGGGATCAGAATAAGAGGGAGACGTAACAGGAAAAGGGACCTCACAGGAAGGGGCATCAAGGGAAAGGGACCTCACACGAAGGGGCATCAAGGGAAAGGGACCTCACAGGAAGGGGCATCAAGGGAAAGGGACCTCACAGGAAGGGGCATCAAGGGAAAGGGACCTCACACGATCAAGGAAAGGGGAAATCAAGGGAAAGGACCTCACAGGAAGGGGCATCAAGGAAAGGGACCTCACAGGAAGGGGCATCGAGGGAAAGGGACCTCACAGGAAGGGGCATCAAGGGAAAGGGACCTCACAGGAAGGGGCATCGAGGGAAAGGGACCTCACGGGTAGGGGCATCGAGGGAAAGGGACCTCACAGGAAGGGGCATCCAGGAAGAGGGACCTCAAAAGAAGGGGCATCTGCGTCCAGGTCATCGGGAAAAAGCTTTTGCTCGTCTTCCCATCGTCACCGAGCGGCTGTTGCTAAGATAGGAAGATCTATTATTGGAAGGATCGTGGGAGGATGGATCACTATCCGAGGGATCAGAATAAGAGGGAGACGTAACAGGAAAAGGGACCTCACAGGAAGGGGCATCAAGGGAAAGGGACCTCACACGAAGGGGCATCAAGGGAAAGGGACCCAACAAGGGGCATCGAGGAAAGGGGCCTCAAGAAGGGCCATCGAGGGAAAGGGACCTCTCACGAAGGGGCATCAAGGGAAAGGGACCTCACAGGAAGGGTCATCAAGGAAGAAGGACCTCACAGGAAGGAGCATCAAGGGAAAGGGACCTCACAGGAAGGGACGTCACAGGAATGGATAACATATGAAAGGAATCAAAGTGAGACATAACAATTGGCTCTCTTAAAGACAGCTATGTCAAGCGAATGCATTTGGTTCTGCTTCTCTGTCAGTGGCACTTACTAACTACAACACAAGACTAAACAGAATCTAACAGTATTCTGTCTATGTTCATTTCCTCATAGCTACATTCCTTCAATTTGTTTATTCTTCTTTGTACACAATTAACTATGCAAAAAAGGACATTGATACAAACAGGAACAGACAGATAAAATAACTCTTTGGTGGCGCTTTGGTTTTCGTTATTCTCTTTGGTTTTGGTTGATTCTTTGTTTGGTTGATTCTCTTTGGTTTTGGTTGATTCTCTTTGGTTTTTGGTTGATTCTCTTTGGGTTTTGGTTGATTCTCTTTGCTCTTGGTTTTGGTTGATTCTCTTTGGTTTTGGTTGATTCTCTTTGGTTTTGGTTGATTCTCTTTGGTTTTGTTGATTCCGCTTTGGTTTTGGTTGATTCTCTTGGTTTTGGTTGATTCTCTTTGTTTCTTCTCTTTGTTTGTTGATTCTCTTTGGTTTTGATTCTTTGGTTTTGGTTGTTCGCTTTGGTTCTTTCGTTGATTCTCTTTGGTTGGTGATTCTCTTTGGTTTTGGTGATTTCTCTTTGGTTTTGGTTGATTCTCTCTCTTTGGTTTTGGTTGATTCTCTTTGGTTTTGGTTGATTTCTCTTTGGTTTTGTTTGATTCTCTTTGGTTTTGGTTGATTATTCTCTTTGGTTTGTTGATTCTCTTGGTTTTATTCTCTTTGGGTCTGATTCTCTTGGTTTTGGTTGATCGCTTTGGTTTTGTTGATTCTCTTTGGTTTTGTTTTCTCTTTTGGTTTTCGTTGATTCTCTTTGGTTTCTTGGTTGTTTTGGTTCGCTTTGTTTTGGTTGATTCTTTGGTTTTATTGATTCTCTTTGGTTTTGTTGATTCTCTTTGGTTTTGGTTGATTCTCTTTGGTTATTTGGTTGATTCTCTTGGTTTTGGTTGATTCTCTTTGGTTTTGGTGATTCTCTTTGGTTTGGTGAATTCTCTTTGTTTGGTTGATTCGGCTTTGGTTTTGGTGATTCTCTTTGGTTTTGGTGATTCTCTTTGGTTTTGGTTGATTCGCTTTTGGTTTTGGTTGATTCTCTTTGGTTTTGGTTGATTCGCTTTTGGTTTTGGTTGATTCCCTTTGGTTTTGGTTGATTCTCTTTGGTTTTGGTTGATTCTCTTTGGTTTTGGTTGGATTCTCTTTGCTTTTTGTGCTTAAATAAGGATGTGCTACGAACGAGGGAAGGTTTAAGAACAGGTGAAAGTGATATGGTCGAAAATGAACGAAA